GGTAGGGAATATGAGTTGAAATCAGTATCCATCAAGGATTCACAGGGAAGTGTGGCAACAATCAACTGAAATCAATATCCATTATGGTGCAAACAGCTGCGCTGGAGAAGGCAGTAGCATGTCTTAGGTAACAAGGCTTTCCTTTATTATATAGTTTTCACTCTTGTTGCTCATCAAGACTTGTTCGATCAAAGTCCACCATCTTGAAACACTAGTGGGCATCCAGTCCCATCTCAGATTCAAGATGCTGTCATGTGAATACCACAACAACCACTGAATGCCATTAAATTGTCCTTGCCACAGTAAGGGCTGCAACAAATACTCAAACAGCATTATGACTGCGGTATCTGTTCATTATGTGGATGGTGCTGTCTCGTTAATGTTGTAACAAATGGTTAGGTTTATTCCCATAACCACGTAATAGCACAAATGGTTATACTGTCTCAAGAGTTTCTGTTACGCAAGGAAGAAAATTGTTATATTTTGAAATTGTAAAAACTTAGTGAAAGTTAAAGGAGGACTTCCTGGTGGCATGATTGGCTGGGGTGTATACCCACGATATGCCCACTTATAGTAAAGGACATTTTGCCCCGTGTCAGATCCCTCTTCTTATAGACTAAGGCAGAAATGCTGAGAAATTATTTTTGGAAAAAATGAAATAAATTCTGAAACACACTGACTTCACAACTGTGGCAACACTAGGAAACAGCATGCCGTCACTTGCTATATTTTCTATGAAACGTCAGGAGTGAAACATATTGCTGTTTGTGGTTGAATGACATGAGCACTGGCAAATGTGGCAGCCTATTTGTCATAGATTCCAAGAAAAAACCGCAATGAATGCTAGGTCGGCATTTAGATTTATGAAGTGAGACTAAGAAGTGTTGATTAAAAAACTCCTGTCTCAGATTATGTGTCTTTGACAAAGCTTGACAGTTTGGTTACCCATACTGCCTTGCCAAACAGTACTACCACTTAGATTTAAGTAATGTGTTCATGAAATTATTTGACAGTTTGGTCATGCTTGTTGCCATTCAGAATATCTGTACAGTTACATTTTTGAATGATGATTTAAGTTGTTGACTTTAAGCATTTTAACATCTAGTTTTCCACTTACTGGACATATGTCAAGTCTAGTTCATTAAGTATTTCATTGGCAGATGCACTTACTGGGGAATACTGAACTCAGCAGACTGACAGTTGCTGTGTTGTAATGGAAATGGAAAGCTATTGATTGTCAAATGATTGTGGTATCTTGCATGCTGTTATAGGCCAGAAGGGAGAGTGGGCAGAAACTGACAAAGGGGAATATGAGTGTGTGTGCGTGTGTGTTAGAGACAGAGAGAGAGACTGCTAAAACTCTTCCGTAAGGCACCCATGCACAAGGGCACACCCCTCACTGCAGTATTATAAATCAGATAAAAAAATCTTTACTCGTCTGATGCAGTTGATAAGAGTAGGTCTGTATTGAACTCTAGTATTACTGTATGAGGGCTGCAGCTAATGTTTTTTTCACGACTGGTTATTTTTTCCCCATCCAGTCTATAAAATGACAACCTATTTTAAAAAGTTCTCTGACCAACTGATATGATACAAAACAGAACAAAATGACAATTCCTTAAATCCAAGAAGATGGAAACAATGAATGATGGCCATTTTTGCTTGATCAATGAATTCAACAATGCATCAAATACCAAAATTGTTGTCAATTTTTTTATTTTTTTGCTTGTTGATTGACCAATGGACTTATTAGCTACTGTAATTGTGTAGTCATTTATTCTAAGTATTGTCAAAGCTAGTGGTTAATTGATTCGTGATGTTGTGATGAAGCTAGGTTTCTGATTTTAAGGTGCTGATTTTGATTATATGTTGGTCTGAAGTGTATTTTTTTTTTTTTATCTGAATCAGACTTAGAATCACATTGCTGTACTTCCATGAAAGGTGAAATGAAGTTATGAGTATGCACTCTATATTCAAGTTCAAAATTAGATTAGTCTCAGAGCTAATGATTGACAGTTCTATGGCAGCATGCTCTACAGTATGATCTATGCTGGCGCTATGTTCCAGCCAGTGATTACTGTGTGTTGTAATGTGTTGCTTCAGGGTGTGGTTGCTTGGGAAGGCTCTGGGCTCTGTTTCACACTACTCCATCACCATCTACATCACATACACACAAATACACAGTAATACAAACATTGTGTGTGTTTATGAGCTCAGCAGATATTAAGCTTGTATCATTTGAGCCACATACTTATGTTGTGTTTTTTCCTTTTTTCTGACTTGTTAAGGAGTGGCTGCAGTTCATTACAGTGATGAAACACTGGGTTCACAGCCAGGGGTGTAAATGCCTGCACACATGTACTGATGGGAAAATATGAAAGTCAGTCTGTTTTAGCCGGGTAAGGACTTGAGTCCTGCTATTTTATAGAGTGTGATATTACTAAGTATTTGAAGTAAGTGTCTTCTTTACCTATACAGAAGATAGATAATGTTCATGATGAAGTGTAACTAATAGTTATTTTTATCATCGATTAACTGATCTGTCATTTAATGTATAACATTGCATTCTTGTCCCCAGAACAGCCAAAACATTCAACCTAAAATGCCAAACAGAGAATTGCAGCAAATCTTTCCATTGAGAAGCTGGTATCAGAGATGCTTACAAGTCCAAGATAAGTCTCAAGTCTTTGGTCACAAGTCCAAGTCAATCTGTCTAACATCATCTTCTATATACCACCCGGCCTTTTTAGAACACGGCATAGCTATGTATATCTAAGGAATACAAAGCATGTACAGTATTATCTATTAACATACAGCATCAGCAGGTTGGTTTATGATCACATTAAAGAGGCTACATGCAATATAAAGATAATAGAGAATGAAAGCTTTCCTTTAAAGTTAATAACTGTATTTTGCCTCGGAACATATACATACTACAGTATCGACCAAGTATCGTTTAAAAAATGGATAGGCCTATAGACTAACGTTACTCAGGGTAACAGGAAAATATTGCTAACATTATGAATGCAATAATAAAGCAAAACATGTATGCTAACATTTCGTTAATATTAATGCACCAAATCTTTTTGGATAGTGCCAAATCTCGAGTCCGAGTACAGTCTCAAGTCTTCTGAGGATGAGTCTCAAGCTAAGTCTCAAGTCATTTAAATACAACTGGAGTCAAAGTCTCAAACTCAAGTCCCCATCTCTGGCTGGTTTCATCAAAAGGTTAGCATTTGTGCTTAATAATTTACTTAATGATGAATTCATTACCATAATTGATGAATAAAATGTATTTTCGGTCAGATACACTTGGGAAGTGACAATTTATGGTTACAATTAGTGAGAAAAAAGGCTCTGCCCTGAAGAATCTGAGCACACAGGGATTTGCTGGGAGAATGATCCCCAAAGCTTAGCTTGTAAGGAGGAGTTTGAGGTGGCGGAAGTAGCTGCAGCAGCCACTTATTTTGGCAGAAAACTCAACCGAAAATGCACAAGTCAGTTTAGTATTTTATAAGACAAAAAAAGCAGTAAGTCTTCTCACTTGAGAAGACGAAACCAGCTAATTTTGAGAGTTTTTGCTTGAAAAATTATTTGAACAATGCATCCATTATTCAAATAATACTGTCAGCCTATCTTCGTGTTGCTTGTCAATTAACCACCAGCTTACATGAACAGTTTGCCTACAGATCACCCAACCATCAACCCATCTACCGACTAACAACTCCTCTCTATCCTGTTCAACACCCAGTTGTTCACCGAACTAGCTATCTCACAAGTCAGCAAAAGCAGCCGCCCAGTCTCCCCTCCTCTTTCGTCTGTCTCCCTGCAGTCAACCCGTCACCATGACAACGGTCTGCTAGAGTCAGTGTGTGGTGCAGCAGCAGCAGCAGATTTTATGTCTGACTATGTGGCGTCACGGCAACGCCCAGATCAGACCATATTACAAGATGTGAGGTTGAGCGGTTCCTCAGATGCGACAAGGCTTTGTAGGTTTATTTGTGTGTGCATCACATTCAGTGATAAGGATTGATATTGGCGATTGCATTTGGTCTGTTGGATAAATGGATCATACTGAGAAAATAACATCCACACTGTCAGTATTGTTGCATAACAAAATCTGGATAAACATGGCTAAGATGTTAATCCATGATCAGTCCTTAAAAGCAGCTTCAGTTCTGCTTCCAACAGCAAACTGTCATCCTCCAAAATGTTATCACCATGGCAGGTCATCTTACTGCAGGGAAATACAAGTTACAGTGAAAGCTGCTCTCTCTATCTTTATGAACAACTTTCTAGTTGCTGATTTTGTGAAGCTCGTGTCTGACCAAACTGGCACTCCCATATTTATCCAGTCAGATTTGTACCGGATACCATGATGGTGGTGACAATCATTGCTTTGTGCACCAGTAATCTTATTTTGGCCCCTGTATTACCGGGGTTCGAACCCGGTCGTCCCAACCACTGCACCACCGTGCCGCCCTTATTTGTATTGTATTCAAAATTTAAATATTTGTATATATTTTCTATGTGTATGTGTAGCATGAAAAGGCTACAACTTACGTTTTATTGTAAAACCCTGTCTTGTAAAATGTCAAATAAATTACCTTGATTCCTTGATTAACAAGGATAAATAAAAAATTGAAAATATCATCAGTTGCTTGCGCGGGAGGATTGGGGGGTACAGTGAGTGCTGGGCGGGCAGACCCACAGGGTAGTCCATAGCCAAACTGCATGTGGTGTGTTTGCATGGGACAAGACTGACAAACATGACCCGTCTCTTCCTTGGCACGAATGAATGAAACATTGTTCATCTCCTCTGGGTGGAAAAAGGACATCATTTAACAACGGGGAAATAGAAAAACATTGTCCAGCAGAAGTGATCCTCCAATTAAGCTTTACTTCACAGTGTTTAAAGCCAAGCTACATCTTTGTCAGAAGAAATTTGTTTTGAATTATAACATTGCTATTTTACTCTCTTACCATCCCTTTCTCTACAGAGTGACCGGCTTCTGATCAAAGGCGGGAGGATTGTGAATGATGACCAGTCCTTCCATGCCGATATCTACATGGAGGATGGCGTTATTAAGTAAGTCCTCCGCTGTCCTACTTTCTGCTCTGCTTTTATTCACTCCCATTTGCTTTCATCCCTCTACTCCTACTCAGGCTCATCATACTTTTGCTGTATTTAAGTGGAGTTGTTTGTTATCTCATCAGTTCCCATTAAAATATTTTTGAGAGAAATACAATTCTTATTCTTCTATGTGCAAAAGGTTAAGTATCTTGATCATTCCATCAGATGGGTTGGCCAGGTGAATTAGTGTAAATGTTAAAGGGAAATTCCGCTTCTTTATTATCATCATCATAACACTATCGTCACATTAAACTCCCAACCATTGTTGTAGAGACGTGGGTCATCTGCATGAATGACATCAATCGGGGCAAGAAGCACAAGCCCACAGGTTTCCAAAAACTTCACTGTAACAAGGATAATCTTCTTCTGCCTGACCAAAAGCAAATGCAAAAAGTAGTCCCCTGGAAATCTGTAGTGTATATACTACATGTTTCATGTTATAATAGAGGTGGCACTGGTTAGTAAAATGCTGTCATAACTAATAGTCGCAATGTTCCTTTATGAGTAGATTCATTATTAATGTGTTTGATAAGGATTAGAATTTAATTTGTATAAGAAGAGGAGGTGATGGAGATGTTTTGACCTTGAGACAAGTGACACTAGTAGGTACAATTGGTTGCATCACCCTCAGAGAAACAGGGAAACTTTAAGGCATGTGCAAAAATTACTATTACTGTCTAAATGACCCCAAACTAAACATAGCAGTCTAGTGGACTCTGCCTCCAGAATGTGTGATAGTCCCTGTTTCTAGGGTTTATGTTGGTGGTGGTTGGGTCAAAGACAAAGTAGGGTGAAAACAGACAGTTTTAGTCCTTAGTCCTTATTTCGTGAGCTAGCATGAGCATGTCTCTGCCCTACCAGACAAGGCGAGGAAAGTTAGGTTGAATTCCCCTTAGTAGTGTCTCCCTGAATCAGTCTGTCCTCTCTGTCACTCTCTTTCCCCCTGTTCTGTTTCCACTTGATTTTCCAGTTATAGGCCCTTTGTCCCCCCTGGCCCTTAGTGAGGCAGCTCAGAGAGAGGCACCCATAGAAAGCCTGGTGTTGCATAATAAACACACAGATGCCTGCTGGACCATTGGGCTGCTGGCAAACTCACAGAGACACTGGTTTCTGCCCGCCAGTCTGTCTGTCTGGTCTCCTCTATGAAGTCTGAACAACAGGGGTGAAATGTTGATGTGTTGACATGGTGACAATGTGTTGCTTCAAGCATGGCTTTCTTTTTTGTGGGGGGTCAATTTAATCAGTCAGTGTTTTTATATGATTTTTTCATCCTACCAATATCAAGTTGTGACACCTTTACATATTTAGGGTCGACGGAGAAATCAGCCACCTCCGGCACATCAGTGTTCAGGAACTTCTCATTGGAATCACTTGTTATATTAATTTTCTTGAAACAATATCAGTGTAATTTGAATGCAGTGACATTGATCCCTGAATCAGATTCAATTCATTGTCATCGCGTAGCACAAGTCTGTACTAACATCAGTTGTTGTGGCAACATCTGATCACACAATAATAACTGCATCAACTGCCCTCGACAGGCAGATCGGCGATAACTGATCGTGCCTGGTGGGGTGAAGACCATCGAGGCCAACGGAAAGATGGTGATCCCTGGTGGCATTGACATCCACACCCACTTCCAGATGCCGTACCGTGGAACCACAACCGTAGACGACTTCGCACAGGGATCAAAGGCTGCTCTTGCTGGGGGCACGACCATGATCGGTAAGGACTGTAGGAAAGGTCGTCCACACTGTAAAGTTTCGTTTCAGACAGAGACCAAAGCTAAAAAGAGGGGGAAAAGGAGGGCCGACACCCCACCATAGGAAAAGAGAAGGGATGGGCTGTTTTTGGGCAGCTCTCCAAAAAAAAGCACCATACAAAAGACCATACATAGAGTGTGAGGGGGTTGGGTTGAGAAAGGGGGCATGGAGCGAAACACTCTTCCCATGGAAATACAACACGAGTGTCTCGTCTTTGCATGTTATGGGTTTATTTGTCTGCTTCTGCTGACAGACCAGATGCTATCGCAGCCAACAGCTGGTAGATACCACAGTCTCATTAATACCATTAACTTCTTTTGAGGTGGCTGCTTGTCTGCCACGGTGGCTCGATGTTTAAACGGATACATTCACTAACAGACGTGCTACTGTAGTAATCTCTATTCATGGGCTCCATTCATAGAGGGATTATATTCTAGTGGGTGAGAGAGAAAGTGAAAACATGTACTGTAGTTAGTATCTGCCTGTGTGTATGGCATACTGTATATGTCTGTCTCAACTAGCAGATGATGTTGTGCCTGCGCGATGATGAACAAAAGAGTAGTTCAGATGGCCAACATATAAACAGTGATTTATTTTTTTTGTGAATGCCGTTTCCAGCTCTATCCTATTAACATGCAAAGACCAGATAAGCAGATTGGGTCATCTTTAATGAGATAAAGAAGCCTGTCAGGTGGTGAGCCAGCAGGGGATCTTATTGTATTACAGCTGAATGAGATGGAGCGGGATATTTTGTGCACAGTGATACTGCTGTGTACAATGAGGATTTACTGTCCATGAATTATTTAAGTGAAAACAGACACAAAAGATATTCACAAAAGGAATATTCACCTTGCAGGCACAAAGGCAAACATGTACTATCTATCTATGTATTTTGTCATGTTTGTATTTTAATGTGCTTGAGAATACTTATTTTCTTAGTGAATATTTTTTTAAGTTTACGTGAAGAATTGCTTTGTGTCAGCTAATGGAGACCAGAGTTTATTGCGCATCTAAGTTCTATATCACATATATTGCTATATATTAATTATATATTGAAATAAATGTTTCAGCAGGGAGGTGTGCCTTTATGGGACTATTTGAACTGAAATTGTTGCCAAATCTTACTGGCAATATTATGTTTATACACTTTATTAAGTGTATACAAGACACTTAATGTTGTAACACAAGAACTCCCATATGTTATGTGCCATTGCAGTCACCAAAAGCACCTTACTGCATACTGAACTACTTTTAGAATGGGATGATCCCATCAGTAAAAATCCACTGCCTGTGTGTGCCTCTAACCTAAAAGATTGATCATGGTGGTTACATAAAAAATATCCGCATTTGAAGTGGCCCCTAAATGAATCAAGGACACCCACATCCAGACAAAGATGTTCAAAATGTAATGTGACATCTGACAAGGTTGATCCCCACTGGCTGAGCACTGTAGGAACTCAGACAGACAGCTGATTATGCAAGATAGACTATACAGGGAGAAAGCAGAAACACCAACAGACAAATCCTGACATCACCCTGTCATCATCTCTCTATGTATGACTGTCCCACCCCACTCACTCCTTTGTCCATCTATCCATTTGATTTAACTTACCAATCTTTCCCCTCCCCTCTCCTCCTTTCCTCGTCCTCTCATTCCTTCATTCGTCTGTCCTCTCCTCCCCTCTACCATCCATCTCCACCAGTGGACCATGTGATCCCAGAGCCCGGTAGTAGCCTGATGGAGGCCTATGACCAGTGGAGGCAGTGGGCCGATGAAAAGGCCTGCTGCGACTACTCCTTCCACGTAGATATCACCCACTGGAACGACAGCATAAAGCAGGAGGTGGATAACCTCATCAAGGAGAAAGGTAGGCTGTAATGGCTCAACATAACATCTACCTACGGAAGTGATTGTGGGTAGTTTTCAAAGTTGCCACTTCTAATTGGAGAATGCATGAAAATAAATCTGGGAAGCTAAATACAACAAAATGCTTCCCTTTTTTTTATTGTTGTTCAGAAGTTGCTACTGTAGTTTCAGCAGTTAAAAATAAGTATTTTTTCAGAATTACAGATGATGATAACCTCTAGCAGTAAAAAAAATCACTACTAATTTGAATATAGTTTAACTATTGCAAAATGTAACTAAATGATATGTTTTAGAGAGAGACAAATACAAACTGTGTAACTGATGAATAAAAGACATTTTACAGTATTTTGGCAGGCAAATAAGCAACGCCATTAAAAAATCAGATAACATTACAAGATTGGACTCCTGTCCAACCTTTAAAATGACTGGCCACATTATGCTTATTAGTTCATTTTTATATCCACCTTTGACCTTTTTAGGGGGGTTCAAGTACCATTGTTCACATGCTTTCTTCTTTAAGTGGTTTTCCTTTGTTACAGGTGTGAACTCATTCCAGGTCTACATGGCTTACAAGGATTACTACCAAATGAGCAACAGTGAGGTACAATAACTTTAACTTAGTGCTCACTGTAAAGATCAAGTCCACATTTTTTCAACTCTAAGTTAAAACAATCCAGACAGACATATGTACATCGCAATAGTTTTTGCATACTGTAATTCTTTTTTCTCACTATACTGGCAGTGAAGAAATGGGGGACAAAATCCACACTTCTCCCTTTGTGAAGAAATGCATACGCTAATATGAGACTTCTGCAGACTGACATAGACAAATCAAGTTGGTGACTTCCAAAAGTCCTTTTAGTACAAAATTCCCTTCCACTGTAGCTCAGCAAGACAGCTGTGTCAGTGTAACACTTGATTTAGCTATTTCAGATTACTGAAGCCCCAATATTAACTTTGCAGGAAATGAGGACTGTGGCTTTCGTTCCCCATCACTTACACTGGAATTGCGTTAGGAAGGGATCTTTTCGCGGCTTGTATGAACATGGGGTGGTATTATCTTGGTTTCACCTAGTGTGTAATTTAAATATCATTATCTTATTTAAGCAATCCAATATGAACAATTGCTGTCAATATAATCCATCACTGCTGACTTGCTGAGAAACTGAATAGTCAAAGAGCATGAAAACATGGCAGTGGCTTGGCTCTATGCAGTGACAGTGTCTAAAAAAGTGAGTAAAATATGACATTTTGGTTGGAATATAATATTATACCATAATACTCAACATTCATCATTGACATACCCTATCCGTATGTAACATGCAGCCTGTAAAGTACAGTGTGAGTTTAAACTGCAAGTCCAGACAGTGTGAGGCACAATTGTTCACCTTTCTCATGCAGCCATAGATAATTTGATCGGTCAGAGGAGCGCATGAGGCAACTGAAATAGTCCAGCTAGAAACACTGATGTCATGCAGCTCACTAAGGAACTGTGGCACAGCAACATAACAACAACTGAAGCTCATCCCACATGAGTTTAACCATTTCTGGAGACCACACACAATAATTGCAGTGTGTCGTGGTAGACATCATGTAAATTGTGGGCCTCTTTTAAATTGTGGCTTCAGGGTGACCCCTAGGATAAAAAGGAGTGTCTGATTCTTGTGTAAACAGCCAGGCAGGATTTTAAATATAAGTGCAGTGCCACTGTAATTTCACTGTTTCTGTGTCTTTCTCCTCCAGCTCTATGATGTCTTTACCTTCTTGGCAGAGAGGGGAGGCATCGCTCAGGTCCATGCTGAAAATGGCGAGATCATCGCTGAGGTAAAAACAAAGATAAATAAACTGACAGACACAGCTCTTGAACAGTTTTTCTTTTTCCCATTTCCCCTGCCTCATGTTCTTTACTGCCTCTCTTTAATCACTTGTCTCATGTCCAACTCTGTGATCTGCTTTAGTTTAGTGGGATTTATTTCAGTTTAGTTCAGCTTTCTAGTCGAGCCTTATCGCAGTGCATCTCCACTTCCTACAGACTAAACACACTGTCTCTGCTGTATTGTGGGCAAATGAAAGTGAATGGACCCTAATAGTTGGTGTATTGAGAGGGTTGGTATTAGTCAGAGCTCCAGACCATGCCTGGATTCTGTCACTGTGTGTGTATGTGTGTGCGTAAGTGTGTGTGTTGGATCTGATTTATCTCAAATCCCAGCTCTCCTATCAAGTCTTTAACTAGGACTTTCAATGAGTCAGATTTCCATCAGCTTTAAGACCAAAAATGTCTGAACCCCTAGATTATTATTGTCCTGACTTTACTGCTCCAGAGATATATGGACCTTGTTTAGACCAGTGTGTGATGAATCCTCTTAGTGCAGTTTCAGAGGACATGTTGTAACCAAGTGACAACCACCAAGGATACATACCAAACCGTGTGTCTAAAGCTGCAGTTCCTCTTATGACCACTAGATGCTCGCTTGAGGATAACGATGACTTTAACTAAAGTGTCCTGAAAGTTACGTAAGTTATGTAAATTTAATTACAAAATAAATGTAACTGTAATCCCTCACAGTCACTTGGAAAAAATGTGTAATTAAATTAGTTACTTATGAAAATGTTCACGATTACATTTGGGGTCACATCTGAATATCTTCTGTAAAAAGCTAGGCTAGATGTTACTTTGCATGTTTTTCATGTGCACAATTGCTTCCTTGGCCATTTCCAGCCACAGACGTTTAGTAAAGTTGGATTCTATTGTGATGCTTTTGATTGGTTCTCACTTTTGAATCTGCACGCTACCCTTCTGCCCATTAAAATGCCAATTCAAGCTCTTTTGAAAATGGTTAACAGTTGTAATCGGTAACCTATTACATTTCCAAAGTAACTTTCCCAACGCTATTTGAAACCGCTGTTGCTTACCATAAGGAGAGGTCTCTGTTTGGTCCAGCGAGCCTCTTCGAGTTGATTTTGGGGAGGTGAAATATTCTCCAACACAGCAATGTTGTCCAGAATCGCAAATTAGCTTTTTCTAGTAACACAGCTGGGATCACTCTAATCTGTAGACACATCTAGTCTGTCATCAACAGGTCCCACTCCTAGCAGTGATGTTTTCTTCCTCAGACAGCTATGGGGAGCAGTAACCACAGGAACAGCTCCAGTTTCTTGAGTTACGAGTCCTTTTGGTCTCGTCTGTGTATATCTGATTGATATGGTTGGCCATCAGCATGATATGACTCACGTTCGTCCTCATAATAGTCCACTGGATAACCAGCCATTGCACTTAGTTTTCTTAAATTTCCTTAGAAGACTGCCATGGGGCTATCTCGTTCCCTATAAGAGTAGGTTGCACACTGGTTAAACACATTAAGGTTTCTGCAGTTCTATTATTTATTTCATCCTGCCAACCCAGTAGATCTGTAGTCCTGGTTTTGTTGCTAAATTGTGTAGCCCCAGTCTCTGTGGCTGAGTGTGTAAGCACATGTGGCCATAGCATGCTAACCTGTTAACAAAATCCATGTTACCTGTTGGTCATGGGTCCAGATAGCCAAACAGGAAGTGATTTATAGTAGAGGGAACTCTGACTGTGCCACTTTTGAGTAGGTTACAGAAGGTGTTTTCCATTGTTTCAGGGAATTATCTTTAACCTACAACCTATATTGTATTGTACTGTCGTTTGTTTTGTCTTTTTCTTTTTTTTGTATGTCGTTTTTTTTTTCCATAACCTTACCAAAACCAGTTGGAACTGATTTTTGGTGGTATGTACAACATAAAAGCGCAGGCAGAATTTTTGGGAGTCAGTTCTTCATGTATATAAAGACCCTCAACAGCTCGTGGATTCCCACAGTCCTCTGTGTGTGGCCTGACCTAGATGACAAAACCGTCTCAAATCCTTTACAGGCAGAAAGAAACAGAAACAGAATATCATTTTGGAGCGTGACCAAAACCTTACATCATCCTAAGCACTCACACCGCTGAAGACCAAAAAGTAATCCTGCATTTGAACTTAGCAGCCAACAGTATACTTTTTTTTGTTCAACAGGAGCAGGCCCGCATGCTGCAGATGGGTATCACTGGGCCAGAGGGACACGTGTTGAGCAGGCCAGAAGAGGTACACTTATTACATGATTTTAAGCATGTATGAACATTTTAAATAGCTGAATTAGCCAAGTACAGTTTTTTTAAATACATAGTCTTAGTTATAATTTAGATACAGTGTGTTTTCATGCCTTTTTATGTATTTTCCTCCTTCAGTGAATGTTTTGCTGTGTTAGTATGTCCAAGATTTTAGTTATTACTTTATTTAATCAGGACACTGTCTTGGTAAACCCGGGAGCGAGAGAAAAATCACAGCAAATTCGCCTTATAAGAGAAGAAAAAGAATGATAAACAAACAAGCATGGATGTTAAAATTGTAAGACAAATTTTTTCATAGATTTTAGATGGTACGTAGAACACATGAAGTCAGAGGAATGCAATCACCTTATTACACACTTAGTTTATTCAACTATTTATTATAGTTTTTGCTTAATACTTCTGTTTTGACCACCAATAGTGCATTGATTATTGACAAATGTAGATTGACAATGAGGCTACCTCTCATCGACTCTGTATTGTCAATAAAAAGTGCAACATGTGTCAGCATTGTCAAGGTAAGATGATAATGTCGCAAAGTGCTGTCCCATTCCTGTTCACAGTATTTTGAGCCCTTACAGCCTCTTACACTCAATCACTTACCAGGAGATGTCAGAAAAGTCTGTGAGGGATCAGGGTTTAGGGGGGACATTGGGATTGGGCCACGATGACGTTCTTGGACTGGTCGTCACACATTGTTCTTGTTACACACATGTGGTTTCAGACACATTAGAGGCGAGGTGAAAATTCTCAGATTCCCCCAATTATTGTTGCTAATGTTTCTTCAGACAAACAGCAAAACGAAAGCCATGCAACTCAGCAACTTTTCTGCCTTTAGCTTAACTGGGACTTTCCACTCTGCCGTGCAGTGGAGTGAAGTTGTCCCATCAATCTCATAGTGATGTGCAGTTAAGTGGAGTCTTGAAGAATTACAAGCTTGTTAAGATAATTTGATTGAGCAGAGGCCAAGTTGGATTAGTGTTTTATCAATGTCTGGTGTCTTGTTTGGTTTTAATTTATTGGTTATTGGACCCAGGTTGAGCTTACTAGGACTAGAACACAATAATCTGCTAAAGTGTTTGCGTCACCTTGCAAACTACGAACCACACGGTCGTCACATCTGGATTTGTGCTTGGCTTTCTATTGCCAACTTTTTTTACCATTTCATATTGAATGCCATTTGTTGTTCTTGCTGACTTTTACAAGTATAGAAATGGAAATTTTAGGATGCCAGGTGCTGTCCAACCTGAATCAGGTGGCCTCCAATATATGTCCAGAGATGTTTGCTTTTAATGCATATTATGGATTATACTGTGCATATTTCTTCCATATTTGTTAATATTATAAGTCTTCCAATTATGAAAATGGGTAAATGAGCGTGAGATGCTCTTTTCTGACATCATTGTATTTTCTTTTAACTACCCTAACTCAATGTATCTGTATAAACCTCACCAAATTATGATGTTGAAATTACAAGCTTCCACTTGTCATTTTCTCTAAAAAAGCTTAAAAAATACATAATTTGCTGTGGTTAAGATACTTGAAGTTTATTTGAGAACATCCTAATGGGAAAAACATTTCCAAGTCAACCATAATGTCCTGTCCCTTCTGTAGCTGGAGGCGGAGGCAGTGTTTCGTGCCATCACCATCGCCAGCCAAACCAACTGTCCTCTCTATGTGACCCGAGTCATGAGCAAGAGTGCTGCTGACATCATCTCACAGGCCCGGAAAAAAGGTAAAGAGCAGCATGTTGCCTTCACTGCACAATGCAGGATATTTAAAACTACATGTTTATGTCCAAGGCTCATTAAAAACATTAAGTGATTGTCTGAAATTAGATTATCTTAGATTCTATATTGTCCTTTTCAGGAAATTTGTTTAGACCATTTACACATATATAGCCTCACATATAAACAACATGAACATAACTAACAACATATATCAGCACATTTTATACACAAATTGACACCAAACCAAAAATACTTTTTACTTAGCAAGTACTTAGTTGAGGAGTGCTATGGCACAGGGGATAAAACTCCTGCTACAGCGAGCCCGTTTCCAGGCTAGGGATCTGTATCTACGTTCTTATGGTAGCAGAGCGAAGAATGTGTTGGGAGGATGACTGATGTCGTGGACTATTATGTGTGCTTTCCGAAAAAAATGGCTTTCCTATTGAGGTCAGAGAGGTTGGGGGTGGGTAGACAAATATTGAGGAGATAAAGAATGACAGTGTTGTCAGAATACTTGATATATGTGGTAACAAATTAGGGGTTGGTGCAGTTATTGGTGTATAGGGTGAACAGAAAAGGACACAACCTTGTAGGACTGCGGTGTTGGTGATGATGTTGGAGGACGTCACAGAATCCACTCTGACTGTTTATGGTCTGTTGCTGAGGTAGCTGTGTACCCAGTGAATGAGAACTGAGGGAACGTAGAGATGGTGGAGTTATTTTATTTATAGGTTTTATTTTATAGGAAAGAAATTTCTCTCCCACCATGTGAATAACAGTATCCCAAACATTAGATTGCACAATAAGAAACTGGAAAATGGATTTAAAGGAGCACTTATCTTTGCCAGAAAAGCTTAGTTCAGATTGTGTATATTGCTAGAGATTTATCTAATTATTCAGTTTCATCTCTGGGCATTGACCGCCTAATGTTGTGGAGATTGTGATGCTTAAGCACATTGTGTATTAGAGTAGAGTAGTAGTAGAGTAAAGGCTATCTTTGCATCATCATAGTATGACAAATAGTCTTTAATATATATATATAAATTACTATACAATATATTACTCAGTAATGATTATGGTCATTCCATTGTCTAATATTGTTTACAACATTTACATATATTTCTTGTTTAGCTTAAATCTTGGTACTAACATCAGTACAGACAAACAAGAAATTTTCTAAATATTTCTTTGGTTTTTTACTTCTGTGTGATTTCTGAGACATTACTGATTGTCACATATACCGTTTTTGAGAATGGAATGGGAAAAACAAGAGAGGGCTGAAAAGAAGATGTGTGTTTTGATGTCTGTGGTGGAAGGCCACATGAGGTTTGAACAGGCTGACCTCAGAAGGCAGTCGTGCACATTTTAGGTGCCTTAACTGTCACCTTTGTTTGGATCTATTCCCAAACTTTTACATTTAAACCAGGACAGACATTAAACAGTAGGTCTGAGAGCAAAGGGCCATGAAGCAAACCTAGAAAAGCTCACAACAACCTCAAAGGACAGTCTTATTCCATTCCATAATACCTGGTCTCCTTTCCTGAGCTGATTTGTGTCTGCACCACCTAACTCACTCCGATCTTCCAAACCCTAATATAAGAAAATGACAGAATGATCCACAATATGCTTGCTAAACACTATTTTGACTTATGTCTTAATGTCTTCGTGATTTTGTTGTTGTTTTGTAAATACTTCAGTTAGCCACCTGTGGTAGAGAATAAATTTTACCATGAACAAACACACTCCAATTACCAATGCTTTTAGTGAAATTAATTGCTGACAAATTAATCAGGCCTGATCGATGCAAATTGTGATTTTGAAATCGGCACAAATCGCTAAAACAAATCAATTTTAAACACTGTGCATTTGAACAGTCATACCGCCATTTGTTTCCCAGGGAATGTTGTGTTTGGGGAGCCAATCACGGCCAGCCTGGGGACTGATGGGACGCATTACTGGAGCAAGAATTGGGCCAAGGCTGCTTCTTTTGTAACATCACCTCCTCTCAGCCCTGATCCCACCACTCCAGACTATCTGAACACACTGTTGTCCAGGTACGTATCACAGCACCTCCCTCTGGTTAGGTTGTTGACTTGTTTGTCATCTTGTGCCTGGCTAAGATGTGATCCAAATAATTTTTATTAAGTATTTCACACAATATTATGTCAGGTGATACTACTATAGTGTACATTTTAATGGTGTAGTCACTCCTACAGTATTCTTAAATCCCTATTCAAACCACACACCACCACACGCTGGTTCAGTTTGCATGGGCACAAACTGAAAAGTTTTTGAAAGTTCTATAGACACAGATGAATACCAAGGATCAATTACTAATAAGCTCCATGGTTACTGTGTGTTGTGTTATAATAAAGCATGACTGATTTAACTACAATGCTTTGCTGAAACTTTTGCCTTTACTCTGCAACCCTTCCGTCATCAGAAGGCATTCTCCCTTGGTCTGGCCAAGAAAGGCAAATATGCGCTTCCACACACAGGCACTTAGCCTAATAAACATCACAGAATAGAACTTTTGTTAAAAAATGTATCATCTTGACAGAGTGCAGGAGCTAATATTTGACTTTGGCACTGTTTATGTGTCCTTTTATGACCTGTTCTCTATACATAGGTGTGCAAAGATTACATTTGACTGAAAATAATGAGAAAGCTGCATTTAGTTAGCTAAATTAATGCATGAAACAGAAATTGCATTCTTCATCTAGTAAGTGAGTTAGAGTGTCATATGGAAGCAGTAAAACATCAGTAAAAGTTTGTAGTGGAGGAACAAACTCTGGCGGCGGCACATATTTAAATCACTAACAGTCCTTGTTCTGTTGTGCATCTCCTTCTAAAGTAAATAAACATCTTTCCCTGTGACTGAAGTACTTTACTTAAGTGTGCTGTGCCGGTCTAATAATATCTTATCTTATTTTTGTTTCTTTGTGTGTGTTGTCCCAGTGGAGACCTGAGTGTTACTGGCAGTGCTCACTGCACCTTCAGTGTGTCCCAGAAGGCCATTGGCAAGGATGACTTCACTCAGATCCCAGAGGGTGTCAACGGTGTGGAGGAGAGGATGACCCTCATTTGGGATAAAGCTGTGGTGAGGATTACTAGTGTTTTAATTTTCTTGCTCCATTTTTAAACTTCAGAAGAAGGAAAAGAACAAAAAGCAAACAGATAATGAGGGGTCAAGGTTTATTTTAGACTTTCTAGGAAAAATCATAATATCTAAGCCTCAGCTTTGTCTCTGTTCTGTGATGCTCAGTTTGAGCTGTCAAATCCACATCTCATCTTTGCAGTTTCTACAAAAAATAATAATAATAATAAGGATCCTCTAATAAGATTCGTTGTTGTCTCTCTGCTTTTATCTGGCTTTCCAAATTTTTCCCGACATTGCTCAGACTAAGCTATTATTGTCTCTCCCTCCCTCCTCTCTCCGTCCTCGTTCCAGCTTTATCTCACTGCCCTGTTGTCACTGTCTCTGCCTTGCTTCATCTTTTCCTTTTCTATCTCCACATCTGTCCTTTCCTTCACCCTTGGATACAGCACACTGCCCTCATTTTTCCCCTTCGTTCTCGCTTCTTATCACTGCATCAGTGTACTGCTAACAGACACAGGGCATGTAGCTTTAGACAGCTGTGGAGTGCTGTGCTGCCTGCAAAAAAGGCTTTTCAAAAGTTAAACTGAATGTATTTCCTTAGGGAAGTTACTTAACGCTCAAGCCAAACTTGGACTGAATGCAGCCTTTTGAGATGCTGGTAGGCGTATTTTTTTTTTATTTTGTACAGAGCCAAGGTAGCAATTTCCCCCCAGTTTCCAGTCTTTATGCTAAGCTAACCTAATCGCCTCCTGATGAAAGCACCACACATAAGGCACAGACATGAAAAGGGTTTGGATTGATTAGAAGATCCATACCCCTTTCATGTCTGTGCATTACTTTAACTCTTGGCAAGAGAGAAAAGATAAAGACATTCCTTTAATATTTTGCTCATAGTATGTGATGTCAGGATATTTGTAATTGACCATTTTATCAGTGGGATTAAGAAAAACACATCACAAGACAGCAACATAAATCTTTACAGCTAAGTAAGATGCATCATCTGAAGCTGTTCTTAAATTTAAGTGTTGAATGTCTTGTAAATATAATCCAGCTGGAGCTACATAAATCAAATGCTTACTGTTCCCCGTTTCCCTCCCAGACTACAGGTAAAATGGATGAGAACATGTTTGTGGCAGTCACCAGCACCAACGCAGCTAAGATCCTGAACCTGTACCCTCGTAAGGGTCGGATCGCCGTGGGCTCTGATGCTGACCTGTCATCTGGGACACAGACTCCATCCGCACCATCACTGCCAAGACACACAATTCGGTATGTACAGTGTGCACTAGTCAGCTCACAATTATGGAATTGTCTTCTCACCCTAGATCTGGAAATCACCTTTACAAAAAGCTCAGCATTTAAACTTCTTAGTCGATCTTACATGGCTAGAGTGGATTAATGCAGAGGGAAACACACCAGCATTGTGGGGACTTTTAATTTGTTTTGCTAGTGGCATAAATCCATAATGTTCCTTGTGCAGAAATGTGATAAATATAAGAGCTGAGGTGAAAAAAACATTATAAGAGAAAAAACGGGAGATATTTAAAAATGGTGTCAAAAGGGGTCTGATTTCTAGGAAAGAATAAAGCAGAATAGGAGATATGAGCCGCTTTTCTACATCTGTGTGTGTGTTTGTGAGATAGAGGGAAAAAGAGAGCGAGCGGGTTAGGAAGAGAGAGCACATTTTTGAGCAGCTTCCAGGGAGCTCTCAGTTCCTCTGAACGGAAATGAAGTCTCAGTGGATGTTCACTACTAATATGACTCACACTGTGAGCCCCACTAAATGCAAAAACCCTCAGCAATGACCAAAGTAATGATTTGGATAAATATGGATTATTAAATACATGGGTTTATCCAAATGCAACAAAAATTCTGTAAGTGATGCAAACATTTTCCAAAAAGCCCTGTACAGCTCTAATCAACAAGTAATCTATGTGCTGTATAATCAAGAGGTATTTCCTTCCTCTATATCACATTCACTTCTATCATCCAAAATATTTTCATGATTGGACAACCATAGTGGGTTTAAAGAATGTAATTCATTGCACAAGATTATGTAACAGTAAATACTATTTCAAATACTTTCTGAAACCCCAGAGATTTGGGACATCTGCAGACATTGCTTGTAAGAAAACGACTCATCTCAAACAGCTTTGGTTTAAAAGACATTTGATTTTATGGGAAACATCTCACTCAACATGCAATCTGAATCAAAACTGTTAGTTTACTAACTAACTCAGATTGTGCTTAAAACTGTGATGACCTGGTGGCATAGGGGTTCAAGGTGCTGACCATGAATCGTAGCTGGAAGACTTTGCAATTTTCATATATTGATATTTAGAAAAAAAAGAATAACCTAGTTGCAATTTAACAACAGACAAAATTGTCAGGATCAGCTGTGTGCTCAGGCAGATAACAGGTTGTAGGACCCAGAAGCAGACTCTAAAGCAGTAGGGTGAGTTTAAAGGTAAGCACACTACAATGAGTGGCAAAGTCCAAACAAACCAGGGTAATCCAAAGAACAGGCAGGAGTAATCCAAATGTAGGGAAACAAACAAACTGGCAGGATTGCAGGTACACACAACAAACCAGTGAGACACATCAGGTAATCAGGACAATGGGTAGCAGAATTAGACACTGACACCAAACATAGACGATTTCACAATAAAACAGGAAGTAAAGCGTGCGACAACAGACCAGGACAAAAGTAACAGAATACAATGCATGACAAAATCTAAACAAGAACACAGATGCAGGGAGTTAATCAACAACTAACAAAATAAAACATATTTATGGACAAAAGGACAAGAATACAGAGACAGAGAAGAAAAACATAGACACATGAGGGTGGATTAATCAAAATACAATCAGAGAACACATACAAAACCATAACGCAAGATAGTGCCTACTAGTGCTTTGAAAATCTAGACCATTAGTCTGGAAAATGTATTCAATAAAATTCTTGAATTACACTTAATGACATTCTCAGCTATTTACAATTGTCATGTGTACAGAATTAAACAAGTGAAACTAAATTAGAAACATGTGAAACTGTGTTATCCCATTGCAGATGTTTTTTATCCTCACTCTGAGGGTCCAAGACAAGGGCCTTAGACTGACACACACACACACACACACACACACACATTTTACATAAACACTGCATGTACAGTACACCTGGCATTACATTAGAGAGACATTAGAGGATCCAGCACAGGCCACTCGGCAGCAGAGGAAGTGTCCGCACAGGAAATGAAGGCTTTACTAGCCTAGCACAAATCCTGCTTATACAAAAAATAAACGAGTGAGGGAAGAATGCCTTTACTAATAGTGTATGTTGGTTGGGCTTAGGAATGCTGAAGTGAAGTTAGTAAGCCTAATATAGGCCTAATGGTGGTTGTTTAGCAGGAGAGAAAGAATATTGCTCTGTCTCCAGAGGTAGGAGTGGAAAGAGACAGAGGGAACTGGACTAATTATATGCCTTCTCCAAATGTGGAGTAGATCCGCTGAGGATCCATGGGTTCTTACATAATGATGTCACCCTTTCATTTCCTGCTAGTCATCCTTCCAGATAAAATAACAGAAGAGAGCAGAAGACCAGAGCACGGCAGCTCTGAGTTCCAATAAATCTACCTTAATGGATGGTTTGATGCCAGGCCAAACAGGAGCGGCCCTGTTTACCAGCACGCTTTGTTAGGAAATGTCTTCCCCTGTAGAGCAAATATGACTTACACTTTGCTGTGTCGTAGTTTGTTATCAGTAAGCCCACATCTGGTCTGAATTGCTTGTTGTTTTCAGCCAAAAAATACATAGATATATGTAGGGATTTTCTGACACATAGACAAGAACAGGCAGCAACACACACACTCAGCTTAGTCATGACATCATGTTTGGCATGCAGCAGGTCTTAGTTATGTCCTGTTCTGGCCTGAATTTGGACGGCAGTAGAAAACAGGGCCGTGTGCAGAGGAAATGAGCAACAATGGAGTGAAGGGGAAGGGGCCATCACAGATCACAAGTATGTCAAGAAAAGAAAGTTGGCACAAGGGAAATTGGAGGAGGATGAAAAGTGCACAAGATTGACAAAATGCAAGCGATGACATAAATCAAGCAAGAATGGGTGAGGGAGGGAAAGGCATAGAAAGAGGGATAAAGAAATGAAGGAGTCAGACAACTGGAAAGAGTCATGTGAAGAGAGTAAGAGGAAGGGAAAGAGAGTGAATCCAGCTGGATGATGGCAGCTGTTTGTACATGCCAAACAGACAAGTGTAAGAAACAAGGTGATGAATCATAAAGAATGGAGGAAAGAGAGTATGGGAGTAAGAGAGAAGAGAGGAGAAGAAGAGTTTATGTCTCCACTTCTCGTCTGCTCATCCATCCTCCCACAGCTGCCCCTGTTGTTGTCGTCCTTGTCTCCTCCATCCCTTAATCAGTCCTTCAAGGGAAGGCTCAAGATGTTTTATTTGTTTTGTTTTTTCTCAAAATTAAATTTGATTGATCGAATTTAATTTGATTTAACTTTTAAAGTCAAAATAGCAATAAAGTCCCGTGATGAATCAAGTGAAAACTCCCCTCTGTTAATTCTTATTATCAGTGGAGGTATTTGTACAAACGTTTGCTTCAGTGTTGCTTTAATATACATATCTATCTTTTCTTAGAGTTCTGTAACTGCTCATAATTTGTAGTCTGAATTTGTTCCCTTTGGTTCCTTTTCCTGTTAACTTTGAACAGTGTACCAATCTTAAAAACGTATGAGTTATTAGATGAATTGGAGTTCAAATGTCAGGCTTGTTTGACTGGAGAGGAAGCTCTATTGAGGGCATAACGTGTTATGATGTTTTTCTTTTTTATTGTGTGTTTGTATGTGTATGTTTTTGTGAGACCATATATTCTATATTAATGTGAATATGGTGTATATTTAAACAACAGATGTTATTACTGTAAATGTATCTGCTTTTGTAGTTTTCACATGATGATTTTACATTTTTCTATAACTGTACATTTTTACATTCTGTACATATTTTGCATAATTTATAATTAGTAATAGTGGGTACTGCTATGTTATTATTATATTATTTGACTCCACATTTTTACCATGCTTTTGTTAATTTCTACTGTTGTGTTGCATTTCCCCTTGCTAAATTCCATTACTTTTGCTGCTGCTGCACAACAGTCAACTTTCTTCAAACTGATAATTGTATATTTGTGCTTTAGGTTGCAGAGTACAATATCTTTGAGGGCATGGAGCTGCGTGGAGCCCCACTAGTGGTGATTTGCCAGGGGAAGATTATTCTGGAAGACGGGAACCTGCATGTCACTTCCGGTGTGGGTCGCTTCATTCCCTGCACTCCCTTCCCTGACTTTGCCTACAAGCGTGTTAAAGCCAGGAAGCAGGTAAATACAGGTTTTACTTCTGTCCAGCCTGCTATTTACGCTGCTATTTTTCATATGTAACGGCATGTCCTTTTTGCAAGATTGTAGAGTATGAAGCTACACTTAGAATTTTAAATTTTGAATTGCTGAATAAATAAAAACAAAAAGAATCCACACAGAGGAGAAGGTTTATGCAAAAAGCCGTCATAGTATGTAAGTGATCTCTGGTGAACGCAGTGCCAAAAACACAATCCCTGCGTAGCACCAAAGATGCCTAAATAAAGGGAGGGAGAATATTTGTTGTTTTAGATAATCACACGTACAAAGTGACACACACAATGCAGTGAGAGAAGATTAGGAGGAAGGTAGGAGTCAAGGTCTTTCGGATTGTAAGCGTGGATGTTACTTAGGGAGTTTGGACTAAAAATAAATTGCAATGGCAGGGAGAAAAGAGGATGGGGAGGATGGATGCAGTGAAGTAGGATGTGGGTATATACAGTAAGTCTGACATCAAACTCCAAGGTTCAGCCACAGGGCTCTGGCTGCGCTTTTACACTTTAGTGTAAAAGGTTCATGCAGTGAGGGTGGTCGAGGCTTTGTCATCATGGTTTCAAAAAGGGAATGGTGAATTTGGATTAGGGATAACTTTCCAGTGAGACCTACCACATACAGTAAAGGGGTTACAAACGTCTATGTAGGAATGCTGCTTCTGTCACAGGAAAGGCCACAAATGAGCCAAAAGGTTTGGAAAGAGTCTGTAACACAAACCTTACACACTCAGTCCCAGCAAATGCTAGCAGAATAAATATTCAAACTGTAATCACAGTATAAAATCTATAGCTTCACATTACAGATCAGTTAGAAATAAAGAAAAGTCTTGTGTCACACATTCATCAAAAGAATTATATTAACTGTCAAATATAATAATAGTGTTGTGCGTTATGTGGTACACAAATCTACATTAGCAAAACCTGTTAAATAGATTTAGTTGTTTGTAGTCACACACAAAAGCAATGTAATTTTAAAAAAGAAACTAATGGAAAACTGGATAAATAATAACATAAATAAAATTGTTACGTGAAGTGTGATGTTACAGGAATTGAAATAGAGAATCACACCTTAGAAATTAATTAACAATAAGATATAAAATATATTACACTGCATTCACATAATCAGGAATATGTGTGCACATTTTTATTGCACTCATATTCCTCTACAGCATAAATGCCTCTTTTAGAGAATATACTGGTAGCGCCCACCAACACAGAGAGCTACTGTAGGTTCACTGTTCAGTAGCTGTACCTCATCAGAAAAAAAGAATAAAAAAGGACATTCCTATCTCCTCCACAGCATAGCGTTAACCCAATTTAACAATTTGATAACACTTTAAACTCAAAGCAGACCCTGCTGTCTGCTCTCTTACGTATGGGCCAGACATCTCATTGTTCAACCATTTCCTAATTTGCAGCTGGCTGGTGATGAGAAAATGGAACTGTAGTAACCGTGCGCTGTTTATCTTGGTAGCAGTCACTGTTATGCTTTCTTCATTCACAGATGTCTCTTTTTAACTCTTGACAGAGCTTCCAAGATTCCACTGAGTCACGCCACTGACAGACAGACAGACAGACAGACAGACAATGGCTTGTTCACTGCTAGCCTAAAGTTTCAACTTGCTTTGAAAACGAATAAATACTGTGTGTTGTGTTCTACTCCGGCCTGTAAAAGGGTTTGCTTACTTTTGTATGTCTTTGTGTGTGGATGTGTAAATCTGAAACTGGTTCCCGGCAGAAAAGGGGCTCTCTGAAAACAGTTGCACAAACAACTATATAATGCTAAAACAGGTGTGGACTTGGTTACGTTAAATCTTTTTTGATACTAAACCATAATGTCTTGTTTTGTACTTACCCATCCTTTCTTCCTCTACCTCTTCTTATGGTCTTATTGTTTGTCCTGTAGCTGGCGGTCTTGAGGGCTGTTCCCAGGGGAATGTACGACGGCCCGGTGTCTGAATTCTCCATGTCCCGTGGTGGTACCCCCTCGGCCTCTGCACGTACATCTCCCACCAAACAGCCTGTCAGAAACCTGCACCAGTCCGGATTTAGTCTAGCAGGTAACCCTGCACCATGCGGTGAGCCCAGCTTCTTTATACAACCCCCACCCATCTACCACCCAGTCCTTCCTTTCATCTGTTTTGGGTCTGTATTGATTTAAACTGTGTGTAGAAACATGAAAGCAGCATGCATGTGCGTCACTCAATCCACCATCAAGCCCCCCTATTATCTCAACTCAGCTACTACAGTACTTCATACTGTGCAGAACATCCATCATGTGATTTTTGGCATGTTGATGCTCTTAATGAGTGACGCATTCACAGTCCATGACGAAACGCCTCATGTCTGTAGAGTAACCTAATAATCTCTCATTATGTTTTCATACTCACATAAGGTGCACAGTATGGCATGCATTCGTCTGCAGTATATCACGCTTCTTTGGAAAAAGGTTTATATGCTGTTTATATGACAGTCTGTTTACGCATGTCATTAAGTTGGCTCCCTAAGCTCCTTTGAGTTTTAATGAGCCACACTGCAGACAGCATTAACTTAGATTTATGTACAAAATCTGTTAAAATTGTCCGGTTTTCTGTTTTTGCTTTAGTGTGGTTTGACATGAAGTCAGCTTTACCCCAAATTATAACCATAACCCATACTCATCTATGATGTGGACAAAATATATATTAGATGAATTAGTATTCAAGCTAGGAGCCCTTGTGTGTATTTCTGTTTTATGCTCATTGTGCTAAGCAACATTATATCTTCTATTATCCTGCATTCCTGCATGTATTTTATAGTATTTGTTTTATTTCAAGCATGCACACAAATATGAATGTATATGAAACATGTATTTTGAGTATTAAACTTATCTTATTACTTTAATCTCCCTAACTCAGTTAGATCAGTCATTCTCTTTATTGACTCATCTGAAAAAAATGCACCTTAAATCCCTTTCTCCTGATGACCTGCTTTCAGTATCTCACACCTTTGAATTAAATAAGTTTGATTACTCCTTAGGACACTGTGACCTCTAACTGCAGCCTCTTACCAATGTAGTGATGTTACATGTCAGAAATTATTTTTTTCTAGCGTTGCACTTCTTGTAAGCCACGCTGGCTAGGAATTTTGGCTCAAGGCCTAAAACGTACGTAGTGTACAAGATTTCCCTCTTGGCATCTGGACATGGTCTACTAAGAAGGCCTATCTAATGTGAGAGATCACAACACTATGTATTCACATTCAACATCTGTTCCATTATGGAGAGCTGCTGAGTGACAGTCTGATTGTGTCCATATGTAAGGTCAAGTATCGGATTAGCTTAGATTTAGAAAACAAATGTGAGAAATTGTTTTTGTCAGGCTACCAAACTGTGAAACTTTGTACAAATGGTAATATCACATAGTCAGTGTTTCCACTATGGTGATGTGTTTAATAATCAAACAGAGCAACCATTGCTCTTATTCTAGCCAGTCATTCTGTCCTCCCTGACAGACTAAATGTGTCCATGTAAATGAATGAGAGCAACCCCTCTTAACCTGGACGGAACACAGCTGTACTCACATGGTACTGGCTGTCTTCGTGAATGCATGTAGTATTTTTATAACTCATTTTGATTAGAGAAGTCCACAGAATGGTGTTTAACCTTTGGCTGTGACGAGCAACCTGTCTTTACAAGCGTAGCTGTTGTGTGATACCTCATGCATGAAAAAAGAAGGTGACCTCTGCTGGAAAGAATTTCCACATTTGAGTACATGAATTTTCGAGGGGAGTGAGGCTGCTCCTGGTTTCCGAGGCTTTGTGATGGTTATGTGTGCTTCAGAATGTGTGTGTTTGTCTTGTATGTGTGCGTACTCTCAGAATGAATCAGTCTCCTATCTATTTTAGTTTTTCCAGGGCCACCACCTGCAGAGTTAATTTTCTTGTCTGGCAGGAGATGGGAAAGATTGTTTGCTTAGATGCAGTGTATCATAATCTGACATCACTCTATTTTCCATGTATATACTTGCTGATAATTTGCAGCAGACGCCCTGGCTCATCTTTGAAACTCTGCGCTTTATGTCAAACTAGCTTCTTTTGTTAATGTTTCAGCAGCACTCATACAGCACATGGTCTGTTGAAATGTGCTCTCCTCTGTCATCTCAGTGACTCATACCATATATCAAAGACAATAATAATGTACCTTTAGTGCCTGGAGACTAATAATGCGGGTGTATTAAATCATCCTGTTACAGTTGTCATTACTGATTTTCTTTGTGTTCTTTTTTCCTAGAATGGGTCGAACCGTAGTCTTTTAAATTCTGTATTTGTCCTGGTTTTCAGTAAGGCCTTCTTTCTCCCAACTGCCTCATGTACACTTTTCCTGTTTACATTACATTATATTTAGCTGACACTTTTATCCAAAGCGACTTACAATTGCTATATATGTCAAAGGTTGCACGCCTCTGGAGCAACTAGTGGTTAAGTGTCTTTCTTAGGGACACATTGGTGGGTCTCTCACACCAAAGGCATGCATCTTATCCACTGCACCATCACCACCCCACCACCATTAAACTTTTATCTTTCTCTCCTTTTCTCTCTGTTCAGCTCCCCCCACCCCAGATGACATCCCAATCAGGCCTGCTGGCCGGCGTATTGTAGTGCCCCCTGGTGGTCGTTCCAACATCACATCACTCAGTTAAACAGCAGGACAACAAGGGGACGCATTCAGAAAACGACAGCAGACAGAGTGCAGGATCCCCGGAGGGAGGGTAAAGGGGAGGGTAAAGGGGAGGGTAAAGGGGAGGGGTGGGGGGGGAAGGAGGAGATGCAGAGGACCATGATTAGTTAAAGTTAAAAGAGCAAAACACCGAATCCTCATGCCTTACCTGTCACAATGCTACCTTGCTCAGATGAGAACAGTATCCCTTTTCCTGGGGATTTTGGACTAGACTGTTGTACTGAAGTGCTTTGGAATTGCTACTAAAGAATAAGACCCGCCCTAGCCTCACTTCTTTTCAGTATAGAATACACCACAAATACGGTGAGAACATGTGCACTTGGTGCTTTGGTAATAGGAAAATACACCAGTAAAACTGCACACCATCACATTAAAGAAAGAAAACAAACTGTGTTCTCAAAGGAAAATGGATACCAGTCTTTCTCAGAATGATGCTATGGTTCTTTCATCCTGTTTGGCTTTCAATGTCACCCCATTTTCAGTAGCCTGCTTTCTCCATAGTCAGCTAAACGTAACAGTAGATCTCACATTAGCCATGTATTACCATGCAGTACCGTTGATTAGCTCTAGGTGGCATTGTATATATGATAGATGTAATGTAGCTTTGTGAATGATGTTGTTGCATCCTGTTTGGGTTTACTGGACCAAGTAACAGGTATTTATCAAATCTTAGAGCAGGAGTGCTGTTTGACATGGAGCTGCATGGGCCACATTGACAGGGGTGACGTGATCCATGATCCTTCTGCGCCCCTTCTCTGAGGTGCTTGATGAATACCATCCCCATGATGTATTGATTGCATAATTATTGATGTTTAAAAAAGGATGATGAAGACACATCTGCTTAAGAAAAGAATGTGTGAAGACAAAAGAATAGAAAAAAATAAACATTGGAAATGGTTTTACTATGCCAGTTTTTATTTCCTGTTCTCCGTTATGGCTCTATTATAAAGAACATTGTAAGAATCCGTCCTTTGCATTTGCTCCTACCTTATTGCCTGTTCCTGTCACCCTGAAATCATCTTGAGAAGGAAGATGGAGGAAAAAAGATATAAAAACCTGTTCACCAGTAGTACGAATAACTCACTTGTCCCTTGTAGTTCAACCGTAACTTGTAATGAAGAGCTTTGCAATTGAGGGCAAATGGAAAAAAAGGACAAAAGCAGATGCAATGAAATTAATAAGTAACAAAAACCTGCTTTCAGATAACAGCACCTCACCTCTGGCTTTACTTTTTCATTGCTGACAAACGCGGCCCTCATTTTGTAGGAAAAGAGGAAGACCATCATTCCCTGTGGGTCCAATCAAGTTTACCTGAAACACTCTGGATCTGATTGTGTTGGGGGGGTGGGGGGGCTTAGAGATCTTTGTTGTGTGTCCGCTGTTTTCTGACAAGGCAGAGGATTGCGGTGCAGTAAGGGAAGCTTTTATTTTGTCTCTGTCCCACTTGGGGAGGGGGGGAGGAGATGGCGTTTTTTATTTGGCAGTGATGTGGCAGAATCTGAAGCAGGCACAAGTGGTGGTTATTTGTATTTATGTTAGTTTGACAACCTTTATGATTGTTTTTATGTTGTTTCTTTTTTTACTGTATCAAAACCCAGAGTTGGCAGGTCAAAAAAAGGTGTGTTGTGGAGGTATGATTTGTTTCCTGAATAAACACGAGTTGCAACTGACGACTGAGATCTCTTTTTATATGCACCAAAGAAAATGAAGGTGTGTCTATATATATATATATACATATAAATAATGATAAGAATGGCTGGATTTACCTTTTCAATTCAGGCATATTAACTTTAGCCTACATATGAAGTCTCTTCTATAATTTGTACAAAACACCATTACTCATTTCTCAGTAAATCTAAATTGAAACCCCAGCACCATATCTCTGTATCAACATCTTTTCTGGGATAGTTTTCACATTATTGGGCACTAGATCCCTCTGTTTATACAGTGTATGAACAGCTCATTTATTTAAACAGTGAGTCATGGCTGACTCCTGTGTTTATAACAAACACACTGAGGCAGAAAGGATCATTCTGATAATTTGGGTCGATGATCTAATTATCGCTGCTAGCAACAGAGACTCACTTACAAGCGTATAAGAAATGTTAAGTGAAAAATTCAAGATGAAGGATCTTGGGAGGCTCAAGCATTTCCTAGGCATTGATTTTAAACAAAGTGAAGGAGAAATAAAGATGAACCAAACAAAGTACATAACCAAGATACTGGAGAGGTTTGGTATGTCAGACTGTAAAACAAGGTCAACAACATGTGAACAAAAACAAACCTTTGATGGCGCTGGTGAACCTATTGATTCAAAGAGATATCGTGAAGTGATTGGCAGCTTGATATATGTGATGACATGTGCAAGACCTGATATAAGTTGGATTGTCAGCAAGCTATCACAATACCTATCAGAACCAAAAGAGCAACACTGGATAACAGCTAAACATGTGTTGAGGTACTTTAAGGGCACAATGTATCAAGAGTTGTGCTACAGAAAGAGGGAGGAAAAACTTAATCTTGTAGCATATAGCGATGCTGATTGGGCAACAGATCAAAGCGACAGACGGAGCATAACAGGGTATTGTTTAACTAGATGTGGACCTGTCATTTCATGGAGATCTAAGAAGCAACCAATGGTAGCTTTATCTACATGTGAAACAGAGTACATGGCGCTGGCTGCTACTACACAAGAAAGTTTGTACAGTTATGGAGCGAGATGGACAGTGAGTGCCAATATGCACCAGTAAAAATCTTTGAAGATAACCAGGGTGCAATTGCTCTATCAAAAAACCCAGTATGTCGTCAGAGACGTAAACATGTCGACATACGGTATTATTTCATTCAGTCTGCACTCAGTGATGGTATCATTGAATATTGTCCAACGACGAAGCCTGTAATGAAGTTCAGAAATGTGAAATTCCTGGATTATATGTTTGGACTATAGACTGCCAGACATTTGTGAAATGTATAACTGTGAACTAAGTGTGTACAGTTGATAAAGTTAGATTTACTACGACTTGTATAGTATAAGAGCGAGTGGGGGTGTTAACATATCGACTAATATGTTGTTTAAGTGTGTTCTTACACTGATACAGTCATGCCCTGTGAGGGATGTACAACTGCGCATGTGCAGAAATAAAAAGTGAGAGAGCTCCCCGTTCTGGTTGAAGCACCAATGATGAGTGTGTGTAGCCTACTTATTCCTCTGTTAAGTAAGCCGGTATTCCTACCCTAAAGATGACAGCACCAACACTGTCACTGACTGTTGAACACTTCAGACAGAGTTGATATGCATAACCCAGCACTGGATGAGGTTTGACTGAAACCCGCATCAGTCCCAGGATCTCTGAGACACTTGACCTCTTTTCAGAGGGGCAAGTTTCCCAAATGGAGTGACTCCGCCAGACATATCAGATGTCAGATATGTAGGCTAACAATTATAAAAAGCTAGTAAAAAAAAAAGAAAAAAGATCAAATTTGAGCAAATTAACCTCCTTAATGCACCTATTTTGATGCAATCCATCTTGCGACCAGCCACGGCAGCACTGAACAGCTATACGCTGCTCATAGTTTTCAGTCACGTGACATGCACGGTGACCTAGAGGGCAAAACAACAGAACAACACCGCGACTCCCCCCGTAGAGACGCAGCAAAAGCAACTTAAAAGAAAATAAAGATATGAACACAAACTGCAAGTGTTGGGCATATCCGATCCATATAAAGTTACAGCATCCGCTACCGCATTTCTACCGTTAAAAACCGCCAGGTCCCTGCCGCCGCTCGACTGCGGTAGGCTAATGTTTACTTTTACTTTCTGGGGAATCCCTCACCCAACACAACCCAGGCTTGTCTCCTTCTCGATTAGCAAATCTGAAAGCACAACAACCATCCAGCATTTTGGCAACGCAAAAAGTAGGCTAACAAACTCAAAGTAACAGTGTATCACTTGCTTCCTGCTTGGCAGGCAGCGGGAAAAAAAGGTATTTTTTTCCTCTGGAATGTGACATCACGTGAAAACTATGTGATACTGCTCATTTATAAAACGTGTAGCTCAAATCAAGCAATCTGATTGGTTCATAGTCTTGTCACAAACCAGCTGTTTGCCCGTGACAAAAATTCCATTGCACAGATCTGAATCACTCTGCGACAAACAGGGTTCAAGTTATATTATGAGCTTGTGGGGGTCTCACGCCCCATTTACACCTGGTATTAAAATGCGATCTGATACAGATCTGATAGGCTACAGATCGCATTTTACCAGCGGAGTTAAATAAATAAATAAATAATGAGAGAGAGAGAGAAATTGCTTAATACGCGATTCAACATTTCTCTCTCTCACATACACAGCAGTCCACTACTTGCCCCAGATGTCTGAGAAATTGCAACAAGTTTAAGTTTCAATAGCAATTTGCAATTCCGCCTTTTATGTTAGGTATAATATTAAAGATATTATTATTTTACGCATTGCCAGGATCGTCAATACCGCTGGTACCTTAGTGTTCCTGGCTGTTGTAACGACAGTCGTTATGGTCGTTAGGACTACACAAGGCCAAGACTGAACAACCATTGTTGGCATCCTCACCTGAGGCCAAGCCTTCACAGAACACATCAACTCTGTGGACAGCAATATCAAATTCACACTATATGTCCACAACAACAGTTTGGCCTTCTTGGACTGCGCTGTAGCCTACACATTGAAGAGGACAGGAGCCTGCAAATTGGTGTTTACAGAAAACCCACACACAGACAATACCTACTTTTCGATTCCCACCACCCACTGGAGCACAAGCTAGGGGTCACGAGAACACTGCACCACAGAGCAACATACCAACAAGCACCCAAGCCAGATAGAAGGAACAGAAACACCTGAAGGGGGCACTTCCAGCCTGTGGGTCCCGATGGACCTTTGTGAAAACAGCCACAAGATCCAGGAAGAACAAAACTACAGGGGATGAGGAAAAGGTAAAACGCAACAACATTGTGATTCCATACGTGTCTGGAGTATCAGAGAAACATAGGAGGATTTTCAACAAACACAACATCCCTGTGGTTTTTAAACCCAAGCACGCACTAAGAAAGATGCTGGTACACCCCAAAGACCGCACCCCCAAGCACAAGAAAAGCAATCTAGTGTATGCGGTCCAATGCAGTGAGGAATGCACAGACCTCTATATTGGGGAGACTAAACAACCACTACACAAACGCATGGCTCAACACAGAAGGGCCAACTCCTCAGGTCAAGACTCTGCAGTCTACTTACATCTGAAGGACAGAGGACACTCGTTTGAGGACCACCAGGTGCACATTTTAGACAGAGAAGATGGATGGTTTTAAAGAGGTGTCAAGGAAGCATCTACACTAGGGTTGAGAAGCCGTTGCTGTACAGAGGAGCGGGTCTACGCCACCACTTATCCCCCATTTACAATGCGGTCCTTTCATCACTTCCCAGGAAACTCAACAAACATCAACACTATTGGCCTCAGGTGAGGATGCCAACGATATGCGATCAGTCTTGGCCTCGGATAGTCCTAACGACCATAACGACTGTCGTTATAACAGCCAGGAACACTAAGGAACCAGCGTTATCGATGATCCTGGCACTGAGGTTACTGAGTTTCACTACCAGTCAGTCAGAACTGAAGAAGTCCTTTGGATGAGGGACTAAAAGTCTTCTAGCATCTTCAACCAAGTCCAGTTGCCTTTGACTTTAACCTTCTTTGGATAACTATGACCTGGATGACTGAGAATCTTCACAGACATTATTTTTTACGCACTGCTGGCCACCAGCACACAATATCAAGCATATTGTCATGTCAAGTTACCAAAGTTAATCTCCTGATGCTGGACAGTTTTTTGTGGCTGCACAACAAACGGCAACGTGCAAATAGATATAAATAAATTACTATTGCTTAATTATAGTCTACCTGTGAAAATTCTTCTCAACTGATGCTGACAATTTCACCTGTTAGACGATTGGTTCCTATTTTAAACATTTGTTCAATGAGCAACTTAATAAGCGCCAAATGACGAATCCATGATTGTGTCAGGAAAATGTGTTAAGCTAGTAGCTCTAGCTTAACAGTGATTGGAAATAATCAGCATCATTTACTGTTGCTACTGTACTTTCAACTTTACATATAAAGTGGCTCAGCATTTAAATGTGTGTTAATGCAAACATTTCCTGTTGCTGTTTAACAATTCTTCCCAAAGCTTCCCAGTGGCTTTTTAAGGCTTTTATTGTGAAGCATCTACATATATCCTACAGCTTACTGTACTCTGTAGCAACATTATCGCCTGCTAAATCCTTGGGGCATAAAAGTAGGTTTTCCTTAACATATGGACAATTTATCAGTATTGCATGGTAGAAGAACAACAGATGTTACAGTGAACTTACAAGACAAAGCTGTTAATGTGCCACGTACTTGCAGTTTGGATGAGCGTCATCTGCAGGCTGTTCCAGCATCACAGACTCTGATCATTATCATGGGAGGCTATGGTGTATCTAAACCGTGTACATTTTGCACACTGTTTCATTTAACAAAACCACATATTCATGACACTCTCACTGTGGAGTCTAACTACTAGGCTGAGTAAAGTGTCCACTCAGTCCCATTGTGTTCTCCAGTAGGGGGGTCACACATACTCACCTTCACTGTGAGGTCTACCA